TCAGGCGTTTGGTGATCCTTGTCATCGGGAAACTCTGGGGGCGAGCCACACGCCCTGTCTGCCCCGTGCCACGTGCACGCCGCTCTGGACGCCACACACAGACATTGCATATGATATCTCTATAGGTGTATATATACATTTACAACAACACAAACACCACACACACACACACAACACACACACACACACATACCCACATATATATATGTATATATTATATATATTATATATTATATGTGTATATGTGTGTGTGTGTGTGTCTGTGTGTTTGTGTGTGTGGTGTGTGTGTGTGAATGTGATGTAGAAAAGGATATGAATGAGACTGGATCACAATACAAGAGTTGTATTTGACCGGTTTCGATTACGTCTTCATTAGAAGTACATGTATTTCTGATGAAATTATCGAAACCGGTCAAATATTATCAAATATATCCTCATTCATATCTTTTCTTACATTTCAAACATGGATACGTTTCATAATATATATATATATTATATATATATATATATCATATATATACTAATATATAAGTATATTATATATTAAATCGAAAACGTCAGAGATATGAATCAAAATAATATCACGAGTTATCGTCCAGTCACTATCTTTTCTACATGTCAAAAGATGTATATCGTAAAAATAACATTATATTTATATATTTGTTAATATCTATTTTTACACCACCTGTATATATAATATATTATCTAGAATTATATATTATAGTTACTGATATTTATACTACCTAACATGTATCGATTAATGGTATAAGGTATAGCCCTGAATATCTATAAATTATTTATATTTATACACATTCACCCACCCACCACACACACACACAACATAACACACCACATATAATATCTAAGTGATTAGGTCAATAATAAATACGGGTAATATATAATAAAATTAGATTATAATATAGCACACAAAACCAAGCACGGCTACACTATATTAATAAAAAGTTAATAATATACATATTTTAAACACGCACACGCACACGCACACGCCCTACGGCACACGCACACGGTCACTACGCACACGTTACTTACAACGCTGGACACTACAGCAACAGCAACACGACACACGCATACCACCGGCAACACGCAACACTAGCATTCAACACACACACGACACACACACACACACACATCACACAACACCACAACACACACACACACCAACATATATTTGTAGTATATTATGTGTGTTGTAGTGTTGTAGTGTAGCTTGTGGTGTGGTGTGTATGTGTCGTGTGATTTCGCATTTACAAGTGATGTTTCAATGTATAAAAAATTTATATATAGTGGTGTTTTTTATTTTATTCATAGATTACTATGAAATTCGATATAGTATAGATATAGTACATAATATATGATATATCTTGGCTTTCGTGTGAATATACGAATAACAGAAATAAAATATTTAAATAATTTACCATATATTTCATTATTTGTTATTTGTCACTAATGTAGGGTTTTCTTTTAGTAATAGTATATAGTGTATGTGTTATATGTTGCGTTACTTGTAACTAGTATATATTGAATAAAATGAGTAAATAATATATATATATATAAATATGATATTAATTATATCATTATATATACACACATACATACATATCTATTACATACCGTCATCAAAATACTATATTATAATTTTATACTCACTATATAATTATATATATGGGGATATATATATCATGTGTGGTGTATGCACATTATCTATATATATTACATATTTCATAGACTATATTTATATTGAGTAGACTATATACATATATCATTTCACAACATAATAGCCTTATACTAATAGTAAATATATATATTATGAAAGATATAATAACGTTTTATTATATATATTATTTATGACATAAACAATTAATAACTTCGTATGACCAAATAATGCAGTCTATAATTACCAGTATTTATATAAATATATAGTTATTCAAAATATAAATTTATATATAGAATGATTCTTATATGGAGTATATAGATGATATAATATCATCTTTACTCTCAAAAGTCATACACATATTGAATATGGGATGATATATATGATATACATATATATATATCTATATATATCTATTATACATTATTAATATAATCATAGTGAGATAATACATTTATATCTATAATACTTCTAATTTTATATAGATAAATAATAATAATTAGACTTTAACTGCATAATATACTACTTTGATATATAAGTTATATTTACATTATATACAAGTAAATATATAGGGTACCATAACGGATATATGTATATATTAAATATATATATATATATATAGTTATATTAAGAATATACCCATGAAATTTATATATATAGTATTTATACATTAGAAATAGTATATAATACATGAAATACACTCTCCAATAATTTAATATAACTATGTAAACACACAGTACACCACGCGCGATGCACACGCACACCACACATACACAAAACACTAACACATACACCATAAACACACCACACACACATACACACACACACACAATTACCACACACACACACACAAAACACACACACACACACACACACACACACACACACACACAACACACCACACACACACCACACAACCCACACCACACGCACACACACACATATATGTGTGTGTGTGTGGTATATATATATATAATATATATATAGATATATATTTATATATATATAATATATAATATATATATATATATACATATATATATTATTATATATATAATATATATTATAATATATATATATATATATGTATACATACATATACAAGTATATGTGTGTAAAAGTGTGTGTGTGTGTGTTTGTGTGTGTGCGGGGGTTACGTTCCAAAAAGAGCCCGTGATAGGCGAAATCCGTGTAGTAACCTTTATTTTTTTACAATTATTATACAATGAAATACTCTACAATACATTGAAAAAAGAACAAAAGCTTTTTACAGGCCCAAGCATTTGTTTAACAAATAAAAGTACTGTGTGAACGTTTTTTTTTTTTTTTTTTTTTTTTTTTTTTTTTTTTTTTTTTTTTAACAAATAACACTGTACTGTAAAATTAGAATTTTAATCATCAATACGAACTGAAGGCTTCATGGTTTTAGAGAAAATTTTGCAAACAAATTTGGCAAGCTGTTTTACGTACAAGTACATATTAAACCGTAACGTTATTGACACAGGTATAGAAGAAGCGGAGAGACTGTTTAGCCAATCAGAATGCAGAACACAATGCACAATGCAAATCCGTGAAGCAGCGAAGACGTGAAAGGTGAACCGCGCTATAAGGAGGTTCACCGTATTAAATATATATGTATATATATATATATAATATATATATATATATATATATATATATATATATATTATATATATTATATATATATATATATATATATATATAATATACTACATACATATATATACATATATACATGTATGCATATATGTATATATGTATGTGTATATGTGCGTACTTATGTGTGCGTGCGTGCGGGTGTGTGCGTGTGTGTCTGTATGTGTGTTTGTATATATACATATACACACACACATATGCATATATATATATATATATATATATATATATATATATGTGTATGTGTGCGTGCTTATGTGTGTCCGTGTGTGTGTGTTACATAATATATATACATTACATACATATACATGTATATATATATATATATATATTAATATATATATATATATATATATATATATTATATATATATATAATAAATTTATAACCTATATCATATGATAATTTACTGTTACATGATTATATCTCATGACATTATGAATACGATATTGATTGTATCAGTTAACATAATATATATTAAATTATATTTACTAAAACAATACTTATATATATATATTGGAATACACGTAAATATAATTTATTTTATTTATCCTATATCCTTTTTCAAACCTCCTCCACTAACTTGTGTATATGTTTTAGGTACTTATATCAGACACACCACGCACTTGAAACCACTACGTACAAACAGTAGCATACATATCACTACCAGCCAACACTACACTTATTCCTTTATTAAACCTCGTCTCCTGCAACTCCAGTTTTGCTCCTCCGAGTTAGCCGGGTTGCTAAGATGGCCCGGTTCGAGGGTCCTCGTGCGAGCGTGCTTTTTTGGACGCGTGGTCAAGCAGATTGCCAGACGAGAAACCGGGCTACAGACTAGTTCACGGTTAATTTTTTCTCTCATTCATCTCTCTTCATGTGCCACCATAAGTGCGAGACGCGGATATTCCAGAGACGTTGCCTGCATGCTCGCCGCGGGTGCTGACGAAGCCCTGCGGCTTTGGTGTGAGGATGAAGAACTCACATGACATAACATATGTCTATTAGTGTTGCTTTAGTTATTCTTATTCTCGACGTAGATAGTTGGGAGAGGGAAGATACTGAGAGAGAATGAAAGAGGAGCACACCGACGCGCGGCAAGAGAGAGTATAGAGAGATAGTGATGTGTGGGATGATGTGGGAACTAGAAATAGGACGACTGACGGAGTCCCGATATGAGGGATAGAGTGATATTTGAGATATTGATTAAGAGAGACCGAGATGTGAATGATGGAGAAGAAGATGAGAGGATGATTGAGAATGAGAATATCAATTTTGATTAAATGCAATCTTCAAAATGAGAGAGAGAGAGAGAGAGAGAGAGAGAAATAGGAGGAAGGGAGAGAGAGAATAGAAAGGCGGATGTAGTAGACGCAGGGAAAGCGAGAGATGGAAGAAGAAGAAGGTGAGAGAGAGTGGTGTGGTAAGAGGGAGGATGGTGATAATATATTGTATTTAATGGTAATATACTCTAATACAGATTTCTATCCGATAACTCGCTTCGGTATACGCCGTCACAATAATTATACTTACTAGGGGCACTGGAAAATTCCAGCCTACTCATTATGGCTAGGCCTGGAAGTGGTTAGATTTTCGTGTGTAATTGCATTTAGGTTAGCTGAAAGAATTTTCGCGAAATTTGAATTCACAA